TGGGCAATTTCTTCACAGCTGAAACGGAAAGTCAAATCAAGAGAGATGTGATTCTATCGATTGATGCTAAGAATCCCATAGAGGGAACCTCTGAACAATGAGAAACTTTTAAAGAAAATGGGATCCAAAAAAAAAATTTGTACTTAAAAGACAGTTAAAATATTTGTGACATCAAATGAGGAAAGAAGGCTTTGTGAATTTGACACTTACAGAATGTATTGAAGTCAAGAGAGACAGATCCAAATATCAAATAACCTACTAAACGAGATTGTACATGAATGGCTGAACAGGAACTAAGAATGATAAAATAAAGGGGCAAATATTGCTTAGAATTATAAAGAATAGGAAGTTGTGGAGAGAAATAATCACCCATGTCCTGAAGGAACACAACACATGTCTGTTAAAAAGAGATATCATATGGTATATTTATCACATATAAATATAGGTATCTAACTGCCATTTTTATTTTTACTGAATTTTTATGTCTACTTAAGACAGTGTGCAAGTTGAAGCATTAAAAAGAGCCACTGGAAAAATGTATGAATTAATGACAAATTACAAGTGGATTGCCAAAAGTTAGCCATAAACAAAATTTTGTTATCCAAATAAAGAATTGCTGGTTGTAAGCATGAAAATTTAAGTTTTCCTATGAATTTTCTGATGATACGTAATTCTCAAGTTAATGCTCAAATAAGCTCCTTGTGAGTTTCACAACTATAAAATATCCATGGAAATTCTTTTATAGCATCATTAAACAATTGAGCTTAACAACTTTAACAAAAGATTGCAATAACAATCATAACTCTGAAGTAAGCAAGTACAAATGCCACATCAACTGCCATCTTATGTCTTCCTGAAACCTGTTCTTTTATTGTCTTTTTTTCAAAGTAATTGTTATGGTCCGGTTCCTTGTACCACGGTGATAGTCCGAGGTAGAAGCAATAAAGAAGAACTCGAATACAGATATGGAATAACACAGATATATTACAAACAGGAATATATACAGAAGTAAAAAGTGTTAGTACGAACAATCAGGTTTAGTAGTAATTGTCTGAAAACGACTCTGTTTCGGACTGCCCCTGACTTGACTGACTGATGACTTGCCCTGACTGACTGACAGACTTCTGACGGACTTCACTCCAGACTTCAGACTGAACTCCAGACTTCAGATGGAACTCTCTGCTTCCTCTTGAGGCGCAGTATTTATTACGTATAGAATAGTCCATTATGTTATTATGGGTAAGGTCCCATAACAGTAATGTCTTCTCATTCCCTTTGAATGTTGATAACCCTGACATCTTAGTGGCATTATTTCCTTGCTTTATGTGAAATGATTAAAAAAGCAAAAAAAAGCAAAGGAAAAGATTCAAAGTTAATAAGGTTTTCCATTTCATTGAAACATATGTTAAACACATGAGAGCATTGTCATCTCTTTCTATTTTGTATGCATTATTTTTTCTGATTAAAACCAAGCAGCATTTTTGATATATTTTGTTTTCTTCTTTCTTTCCTCACAATCAAAATGAAATTGTCCATTATTTATCTTAGGTAATAGTATGGCATTACACACATTCTGACTTGCTAACAGAGGAACAAGTAGAAATAAATATGCTCAAAGCTCCATGAAGATTATCTATTATGACATACTCCTGGAGAAGGCTGGAGAATGGACTGGTCAAAACATGAAGATGAAAAAGTAATGCATCATTCTGTATCATCTACTTACTCCTTCCTTCACTAAGTGCACACACACACACACACACACACCCACACACCCACATATAATTACATTTATATATATAGACAGCATATCTTCATTCAGACATGTTTCATTGAATAATATAGACATATTTTATCTACTTATTTTTATAATGATCTTTTCCAGTTTCTTGATGTTAAAATGAAATTCATCAAAGAAGGTGCTGTAGTTTTACTAACTCATATGTTGGTTTGATGACCACAACATTAAGACGTCATACACTTCATTTGTTGGATACAAGTTCTATTGCACATCTAAAAACACATTTCTGTCCACCTTCATGAAACAGAAAAATACTTCCAATATACTACACCATGAAAATAATAAGTAAAAATTGCAAATTCTTGAGTCCCTCTATACCAAAATCGACCAGCCAACACTCAACAAAATTTATTACGAATATAGCAACAACATATTAAAGTTCATATGACAAAGATTTAATGCCATTTTACATTTCAACCAAGTTCTGGTCAGCTCCCTTATACTGAAACACCTGTTTTGCAAAAAAATTCCATAGCTACAATGGATAGATTTCAAATGTTAAAATCACTACAAAAAGAGCACATTTGCATGTGTTTTTAAAAATTACCATCACAACGAACAGAATGCAGATTTTATTGTAGTTATAATAAGTTTGTCTTTATAATTTATCTCTGAAGATGATCTTGGAAAAGACTGAAAGCACTTGGGTTAGAAAAATTCATTGTCTGTCATATTTAAAAAATATATGTTTAAATAATGATCTGTTGCCTTTAATACACTATATATATATATATATATATATATATATATATATATATATATATATATATATATATATATATATAAAATGCATGTATACATGTATGTGCTTCCATAGTGACTTTGAGTAAGTTGCCCTGGATAGAGATAACTGGAGATATTTATACCAGAGTGGTATCAGAAAGTTTGAAATCAGTTGTATTGATCGGCTAAGAGATGAAAGACAACAGTGAAAAGCATTATCAAATATTCCTGTTGTTATGTCCTGAGATCTTCATTGTTGCACAATATGTGGACTTGTATGCAGGTCACTAGGGGGATTGAAGTGTCATATACGACACAAACATAAAGACTGAATGAGGTTTTCAGATCCTCATATGTTGTAATCAACAGGAGAGTCCATCATATATATGAGTGAGGGTCAAATATAGATCAAATATGGATTGGAATTTGACAGAATGAGAAGATAAAGAACAAACAGGAAGCATTTATCAATCTAAAATGTTTTGCTTTTATGATGAAGCTTTAATGAAAGTGAAACATGTTAGATGGATGGATATTTTTTAATTAATGTTGAATATTTCAAATGTAAAGTGTGTTCCAATAACTTGGACCGATTTTAAACTTAATTCATATTTAAAATCAAAAATTTAAAAATCACAATAACTTTTCATCTAACCATATATATATATATATATATATATATATATATATATATATATTTTTTTTTTTCATTATGAAAATAATAATAAATAGGTATACATTCATACATATATGTATGTGTATAAGAATGTTTATTTGTAGCTGTATATAAAATATAAAAATTTGTTGTGTATCGGCTATTTCTTATTTGTGTATAAACTTGTCTTATTTTATATTTGTATACAACTCTTGAAAAAGCCCAATGCGAAAAGAATAAAATGGATCAGAAGAAAAAAGTGGTTAAAGAAAAGAGAAGATTGAAGGCCAAGCTTTTTAAAAAGAAATCTTATTTTAATCTTAATTTCAGCTTGAAGAACAAAGGTTAGCACTGTGGTCTTTTAAATTATGTTCACTATTTTGCTAAAAGTCTCTGAAATGTGAATTTCTGCCCCATCAATAAGTTTTTAAGGATGCTGAGAATGCCGTGAACTGAACATGTGAACAATGATAAAACTTTAGAGAAAATGGAAAGAAAAAAGAACACTTATACGTAGTATCAGAAAGAAATAGTTGAAATTTCTAGGACACATAATGTGGAAAGAGGGTTTGGAAATGTTGATGCTTATAAGACATATTGAAGGCAAGAGGGACAAAGAAAAGCAACACATCGCCTACCTAATGAGCTTGTGTAATTGGTTACCAGAATAGAGATTAGAATATACAGCAAAAAGACAATCTTTACTAAAGAATACATAAGACAGGAAGTTATGGAGAGCCATAATCACCCATGTCCTGAAGGTACACAGCACATAGAAAAAGAACAATATATTTTACTAAAACAGATGAGATGTGATGAGCTTCTCACTGCTCTCTTACTACTTCTATAGAAAGTGCTTGGAGGAACTACATTCCTTGGTTCACATAACGGCCAAGACCCACCATGCCACTTACATTGTAGCAAACCACTCGCATTACCTCTGTATTACATCAGTGAGAACTAAGTTGCACTTGAACAGCTTCTTCACATGAACCCCTGCTCTGTAGAACAGACTCCCAAGAGGATGTTTCACTGATCACTACAATCTTAACCTGTTCAACTCTAGAGATAACCATTATCTTCCCCTCCTATGTATATGAACTACCCTTTAATGTAACCCTCTATCTTGAGTAGCCTTTAGGCCTTGTATTATGTGAACCTTACTTTAAAAAAAAAACTGAATTCATCTGAAGAATAACATTTTGGACCTTTGATAATAAGGATATGTAGAGACCCCATAACATGCATATTAAGAATGTGATGTTAGTTCAGGCTTTCCAGTTGTTTTTCTTTGGATTATTTATAGTGTCTATCAGTGCTGAAAATCAACAGAATAATGTTTTCTGATTCATGTGAGAAAGCATTTACTGATTGCTCATGTGATGCCAATTCAGATTTTTATAAATATATGCAAACATTTATGTTTGTAAGTATGTAGGAAAGCACACATACTCATTTTATGATGTTTTTATCATTATTTTCTGCCTATTAAATTCAGCTATAAATAATCATTCTGTATTGTGTCTTCCTTCAGGATATATTTTTTAAATTTCTTTTCTATTTACATTACAGATACAAGTTTAGTGTTTGCAGAAGTGTGTAGATTTCTATAATTGTCTAAAAGTGTGTGTACATATATATAATCTGTAGTAAGCATGTACATTTAAAAATGTAAGTGATAGATATATATATAAACATTTTTTGATGACAATTTAGTTGACACTCATAGTGAATTGTTAAGTTTACACTTTGACTAAATTATCCAGTGACAAAGCTGTATTGGTTCAAACTATCTTTGAAATTTCTTTGTCACATTTTGTGATGGTGACACTAATCTATCTATCTATCTATCTATCTATCTATCTATCTATCTATCTATCTATCTATCTATCTATCTATCTATCTATCTATGTCTCTTCTTATCTATCTCAGTCTCTTCTTATCTATCTATCTATCTATCTATCTATCTATCTATCTATCTATCTATCTATCTATCTATCTATCTATCACAATCTGTTCACTATCTACCGCAATCCGTTATCTATCTATCTATCTATCTATCTATCTATCACAATCTGTTCACTATCTACCGCAATCCATTATCTATCTATCTATCTATCTATCTATCTATCTATCTATCTATCTATCTATCACAATCTGTTCACTATCTACCGCAATCCGTTATCTATCTATCTATCTATCTATCTATCACAATTTGTTCACTATCTACCGCAATCCATTATCTATCTATCTATCTATCTATCTATCTATCTATCTCAAGCTCTTCTTATCTATCTATCTCAGTCTCTTCATTATCTATCTATCTATCAATCACAATCTGTTCACTATCTACCGCAATCATCTATCTATCTATCTATCTATCTATCTATCTATCAGATGGAGCTAAAAAAGTTCTTGGTCTAACTAAAACCACTGAGATCTGAATGGTTTCCCAAAAGCTGACCAATGACTTTTTTTTTTTTTTTTTTTTTTTTTAATCCCTTCTTGGACAAACTGAGGATTGTCAGCATCATTTAAACATACATGTTGATAGATATAGATAGATATATGTGTTTTGGGGTGCATTCCTGTATTTATGTATGGATTTTTATTTTAATAAAATCAATCTCATTTTGTGCTATAATTTTTCTTCTCCCACTTTCTTTGTCTTTATATATGTCAATGTATATATCCATGAAAACACTCATATACATAATAAAAGATTTCTTCACAATATATCACTGATAATATATATATATATATATATATAGAGAGAGAGAGAGGGGGGGATAAGCAATTCTATCAGTGATTGTATGCATGTATATATCAGTAAAACTAATATTGCTTGTAGCTATAAATACAAACTGCATATCTGTCAATTTCTGCATAAACATTTATAAACATATGAATAGTCATACACACATTAACTAGTGTATGATTGCTGTGCTGATGTTTGCTACATGCCTTACTTCTTGCCTATCTCACACTGCAAATTTTTTCTAAGCTCTATACTAAACATTAACTCCAGGGTATGATTGAAGTTAAGCAACATCAAGCTTGGTCAGTATCTTGATGAGTGACCATTTACAAATACCAGTAGCTTTGGATGTGCAAATGGTGTAATGGATAATGACACTGAATTGGAGATTGGAAAGACAAGTTCCAATTCCTTTTGAGTTTGTTAAATTCACATGCACAAAATCCCTTGGGAAAGGTATGTATCTGACTCTACCCACAACATGAATTAATTAGTAGGACTTGTATCAGTAAATCATTATCTCAAGAAAAATCTTACAATCCAAAAATAATTTCTGGCTTTAAATAACCCTTATAATTATAAACAAATCAATCAGTCACTCAATCCAGGGTATGGTTATAATCAAGATGTCAGTTCACCAGTTTTAATAAATGTTATGGCAGTATCTGTACCTATGTATCTATCTGATTTGATTTGTTTGTCTTAATCCTTCTGTGCATAGATGCACACACAGGTATATATATATATATATATTTTTTTTTTTTTCATCTTTTGTTTCAATTTTGGAAGTGTTATCTGGTGATCCAGCGTCCCTTAAAAGGGCTCTGGTGAAAAAAATTATTATAATGGAACCTTAAAGTAGTCTGTTTTTCTTTAAATTATTAGCTCTGGATTTACATTGAGCTCTCAGGATTTCATCCTCCTTGGGACTACCCATACAGATTACCAAGTTTTTCATAACTTAAATATATATATATATATATATATATATATATATATATATATATATATATATATATGTATATAAAGATTGTGTGAATTTGATGGTAGGTTCAACACTGTTAAGTTTCTTTATTTTGTCTAATAGGTTAATATTATGAGAATATAATAATAAACGAACATCATCTATGTATCCTAGGTAAGTGGATTTATTCAGTTGGGCTTGGAATCCATTAATTTCTTGTAGCCTAAAGGGACATGTCATCTCTTTTTGAATTCACAATGCCATAAATTATAATAATATTTGTTTAAGAAGTTGAATCCACATGAAACCTGATTGACCATTGAAAATCAAACAAGACAAATAAAAATACAAGATTTTCTTTATTCTTTTTCTCCATATCTCATTCTCTGATGAAGCTTTAATGAAAGTGAAACCTGTTAGATTAATAAATGTTTCGTATTTTTTCTTTATCATTCTCTCAGGTTCCAGTTCATATTTGATCTCTCTTCATAAATATACATACATATATGTGTGTTTGTGTGTATATATATATATATATATATATATATATATAAATAAAACTTATTGGTTGACCAATAAAAATGACCTAACAGCATTCACCTGGAAGTTCACTTCACTGGCATATAGATTCTCAAGTTCTTTAACATTTCCTGTTAGGTTTATCCCTTTGTTTCCTGTTTAGGATTGTATTTCCGGTTCCTTCTAAAGTCTTTTTATTCTGCTTCACACCTTGTGCCTCAGTGGCATTATTGTCTTGCTTAGGATAAATTGACTTAAAAAAGAAAAAAATCTGATGTTTTGTCTTTGGATTTAGGAAGAGGATTGAAACGAGATATTTTCAACACACACATTCTCTCATATAAAAAAAGACAAGAGGAAAAATTTTGTAAAGAACATACTCGTTTGTTGAGATGTTTTCATTTAATAATCAGAAAAATTATATCATTTATCATGCTCCATGATTTATCTTTACTAACAGAGTAAGTTTTTTTTTAATATTTTAGAACATTCTCTAATTCAAAATTGGAATACCTAGCAATGTTTTTTCTCTACTTACTTCTGTATATAAATACTAGTTATCAAATAAAATGTTCACACTGGTCTTGATAAAGTTCTTGAAGGAACAAAATGTGATGGCAAAAAGTTTTCTTCTTTTATTTATATTGTCTTTACAAATATATTTATCTACATCTGAATTTTTACATATTTGCATGTTAGTTCATGCATTCCTACCAATAGGCTAACATCTTGTCAGATTTTGCAAATTTATAAATTGAATCCTGTAATGAGTTTATGAGTGATTGATCCACTGAAAAAAAAATAGATAACTATTGAAAGTTGTTAAATACATATTGCACAATAATGTCTAACACCAGCTTTTTTACCAGATGAGTCTTGGGGCAATGTCCTTTGCAGGTTTGTGTCTAAGATGTGATATTAGTGTACCTTTTTTTATGATATTCACTTCCCTACATAAATGTGTATTTACCTGTAACATATACAGGTTCCTGTATATAGACACATGCACACATATAAATACATAGATAGATGCATACATATATGAAAGGGTGCTGAAAAGTTCTCATCCTGACAACAAAAACCCTTTTCAAAAATAATTTCTGATGTTTGCATATTTGTTCATGTTTTATGAATCTGGTAAAGCTGATAACTTTTCAGTACATGTGTGTGTATATGTGTACACACACACACACACATATATATATATATGTATGTATGTATGTATGTATGTATGTATGTGTGTGTGTATATGTATACACACACACATACATACATACATAAACACACACAGGCAGACACTTTTTTTACCAAAACAAATACACCAGAACACATTTATTCTTTCTGTGTTGTTAATTGTTTCTCTCACAAACAGAAAATATCTATTAAGAAAATGATTTTTCTGTGGTTTTGAGTTTTTTGAGTTTTTTTTCTGTTTTTACTACTGTTGAATTCATTATCTGAGTCGTTCAGAACTCTCAAGTATGCGATTAGAAAATTTAATCGTTTTTGTCTATAAATTATTTTTATGATGGTAAATACTTTTATCAGCAAGACATACTCCCGTCTATTATTTTCATTCTTTCTGTTTTCCTTTTACTTTCTATTTTCTAAATCTGTCTGTCTTTATTGTCGCAATAATTATTCATTTTAGCTCTATCAGATTATCTATCTTGTGTTCTGTCCATTAATATCTTTTCTTATCAGTCATTTGACATCTCTCACATTTTACTCTCATTTTTTTTTTATCTTTCTTTCACTGTATCTTTTACACAATTTCTTTAGTTCACTCCTCCTTCTCTCTTTCTCTTATATATCTATATATATGATAATGATATATATATTTTATAAATCAAAAAGAATTATTGTATGACAGAGTGGAAAAATTTTTTGTGTAATGCATTTCATCCTTTAGGACTTCATCAGACTAAATTTGTTATGTTGGTGCGACTACACATGACTGTGAATGAGGGATGCTGGGAATTTTAAATTTAATTTTTTTTTTTAATCTAGCCAATTTCATTTAGGTTCTTTTTCTTTTTTAAATGTCTAGAAGAGTGCCTTGATCACAAGATCATCTACAGTAAATTTGCACCTGGGCTCTTACGACAATTCACCATTCTTGACAGAACTTCTAATATCACAGTGTGGGATATCTACAAACAAAAATGATGGAAAGAAAAATTTTAAATTCCTAGCATCCCTCATTCATGAGCATGTGTATTCATACCAACATAACAAATTTAGTCTCTGATGTGGTCTTAAAGGATGAAATTTGTCACACGAAAACTTTTTCTGCTATGTCATACATGTTTTCACCAATATATATAAGTAATGAAAAACTTGGTAATCCATATGGGTAGTCCCAAGGAGGATGAAATCCTGAGAGCTCAATGTAAATACAGAGCTAAGATTTTTTTTTTGGAAGTGCTATCTGATGATGTGGCATCCTTTAAAAGGGCTCTGGTGAAATAAATTATTATAATGGAACCTTAAAGTGGTCTGTTTTTCTTTAACATACATATATATATATATATATATATATATATATATATATTTGTTGGATAGATGTGAGTTTGGACCCTGGTTTCACGCTTTAGCGATCGTCAGACAAGCGTGAAACCCAGGGTCACAAACTCACATCTATCCAACAAATATGTTAGCTCTATCTCTGATATTGAGCGCTTTTAATAAGTACAAGACATATAATATATAAATAATTATATATATATATATTTATTTATATTTATATTCACTTTTTCACATATATATATATATATATATATATAATATTTACTCTGAGTTTCTCCTGATCAGTGGATTTCAGAATCTATGAAACCTTGAGAAGAGATAACTGAAAAAAAAAAAAAGGATTATTACTATTAATTTTATATCCTTAGATATTCAGTACTGTAATTGCAAACACTGCTTGCCAAAAAAAAAAACATGATCTTCTAGAAATACACTGGTTGAATATTTTTTTGGTGAATCATATTTTTTGTTGTTACATATATGATTTAAATCTGGTTGGGAATAAAAGAATGATAAATATAGGTCAGTTTGGAAAACTCTTATTTTAATCTATAATTGCTGATTAAACAGTGTTATCAAAAAAATGGATTTTATTTCAACTAAATCTATATTGGTGAGACAGAACATGATTCATGTTAGTC